TGTGAAAGTCAGACGACAGCTTGCAAAAGTCTGTTCTTTCTTTCCATTATGTGGGTCCCAGGGGCCAAACTTGGGCCATCAGGCTCAGAAAGTGACATCCACTAAGTCACCTCACCAGCCCTGGCTGGGCCTGTACTTAAAATAACATTTGCAGGAGCTGGTGAGATGGATCAGCAGTTGGGGGCACTGAGAACCTAGGTTCCAGAGGACCCAGGTTCAATTCCCAGCACCCACATGGCAGCTCACAACACCAAGATCTGACACCCTCACCCAGACATATATGCAGACAAAACACCAATGCACATAAAATACAAATACATTTTAAATAATTAAATAATTAAATAATTAATTCTTTTTAAATAAAGAGGAACAAGATAGCATTTGCTAATTATCTCTTTGCGTTGCTTTGGGCATGTCACATTCCAGAGCCTCAGTTTCTTTAATGGCTGAGCCATCTCTCCAGCCTGAGCCTCGGTTTCTTTACCTGTGAAATTGGCATCTGGGTGCTGCGGAGATGCTCATTTGCTAAAGTGTGTGAGTTTGAGCCTCAGCCTCCACTTAAAAAGCCAGGAGTATGGCTGCTTATCCCAGCCCAGAGTAAGCAGAGAAAAGCAGTTTTGGGGACTTGCTGTCCATCAAACCCAGTTGATTCAGTGAGTCCCAGGTTCCAATTAGAGACTTTGTCTCAAAAACCAACCAAGGTGGACCTTTGGCTACATAGTGCATAAACACACATGTAAACTTGTATACACACAAACCTACACACACATGAAGACTCCCCCACTCCCACCACACACACATTACAAAGAAGATGGTATATAAAGGCCACTGTCTGAAAGGCTGCTGTTCTCCTGGACAGAAAGAGAGTGAACCACAAGGCATAGGCCGGTACCACTTGGTTCCTTCTTGACAGGCCAACTCCATCTGTGTTGCTTTTCAGAGAAGAATCTCCTTGAAGGGAAGGAAGCTTTGTGTCCTACTCAGGACTGCATGCCCAGACCCTCTGCCCCTTGGCACATAGTAGGTATTCAGTGCCGTTCCTCATCGGATGAGTGTGTCAGCAGCAGTAAGAACCATCTTGGTGCCAGAAACCAGATTTGTGGGGTATCTATCAGCTCATTTGAGTGAGTGTTTGTGAACAGCACAGCTTGGTAGAAATGCTGTTGGGTTCTGTTTCTAGCTCAACTGAGAAAGATGCTGTGACGAGTAACTGTATGTGACAGTTGGCTAGGCTGAGGGATCCTTCAATAGCGGGGTAGACATCATCCCTGAGACTGTCTGGGAGGCCATTTCCAGGAGGGTAGGTACAACTGCATGGACTGAGTGAAGGTCTAGCCTCAGCTGCACAGGGGGTAACACTAACCCACTGTGGGCTTGTGCGGAGTTAGAGGATCAGAAAATACCCAGGGAAGCCCTGAGGATGAGATAGCCATCTTTTGCTCTGGGCCGCTGGGGCTTCCAATTCTGGGGTCTTCAAGCTCAGATGGAGGCCTACCTATACTATTGCACCCCTTTCCTGGTGCTCAGGGCTTCCAGCTTGGACTAGCACTGTGTCTACAGCTTGCCTGGGCTCCAGTTCCAGCCTCCACGTTCACATGAGTCAAGTTCTTGGAATAAATCTGTCTTTCTACTGGTTCTGTTTTCCTGGAGAACCTTGACTAAGACAAAGACAGTCATTTATCCCAAATCTCGCCAAGCCTTTTGTTAAATGAGGCTATTGATAACACCATATAAGGTTGTCCTGAAGAGTCAGTGAAGAGTCACCCAGGAAGTGTTCACTTTGTGTCCTTCCTTGAGCCTCGCTTTCCCCTTCTGTAAATGGGTATCTATCTACTCATCATTCACTCAGCAGACATAGTGTTTAAGACTCAGGGAAGTGGACGGGTGGTGGTGAGTGGCAGCTGTGGTGGCGCACGCCTTTGATCCCAGCATTCAGAAGGCAGAGGCAGGTGGATCTCTGAGTACCAGGTCAGCCTGGTCTACACAGGGAACGCTGTCCTGAAAAAAAAAAACAAAAACAAAAATAAAAACAAACAAAAACCTCCCAACAACCTGAGGGACGTCACAGACGCCTGTAGGCTCTAGTTCTTACTGTGAGAGTCTCTGTAGATGATAGAACAGAACAGTGATAGAAATACAGCCAGAGGGAGAAGAGGAAAATTACGTGTGGGTCTTCAGGGGCTAGAGGTGTGGGTGAGGACACCTCAGGGTCTTGGAGAGCTAGCTAGCAAGCTTGTAAAGGTTATAGGACCACCAGCTTGTGTGTGTGTGTGTGTGTACCATTGACATCATGTCAGTGTGAAATGGACAATGGACTAGTCCCCTGTTGGTTCTGGTTCTGTACTTCAAGTGCCTCTATGGTACTACTTAGCCCCTGGCTCATGAAGCATACCAGGGATTGTTTGGAAAGTCCCATCAGAATGAGCACGCTCTTCAGACTTCTTGTTTTCTATCTCCTCCAGTGACCCCCCCCCCATACACTTCCCCCCACCTCAGTGAAGAGAAGCTGACATTAAAGGCTAGGGCCCTGACTTGTTCTCCATGTACATGCCAGCAGACTCCTGTAGGATCCCCTGAGAAGCTTGGGCAAGGGAGATATGCAGGAGACCAGGCTAGGCCTCTGGGCTACTGGATCTAAGGAGCACATACATGCTTATCTCACTCGCTCTCTAACTCCAGGGAACTGACTCCTGCCAGCAAAATTCATGAGAGACTGAAACATTTGAAGTAGAAATTTACATATAAGCTAGGTGTATTGGGAGAAATTATTCATCTCCAGTGACCAAAATATTTGCACCTGTTACCGACTGTAGTCTTTTATCTTTTATTTTCAGTAGAGAGAAATTTATATGCTAGGGGTATTTTAAATGTCAGGAGTGGGCGTGTTGGCAATGGCTTGGCCAGGGTTAGAAGGAAGCCTTAGTGGCCCGTTTGCAGTAGGCCTTGGGGAAGAAGCAAGATTTATGAGGTGAGAGCCTGCCTGGGCTGCCTCCTCCCCGGGAAAGGCGTCCCTGCAGTATTTTCTGTCTTGTCAACGCCGAGTTTCATTTTAAATTGCAGCTGAAAGCAGATATTTCCCCCCTTGCCTATTACACCTCTTAATTTGTCTCTCCCTATGCTGTTGTCTCTATAAAGTGTTTTGCATGAGAGACCCACACGGCAGTGTTATTTTGGCCCCCGATGAGGTAACAGGAAGGACTAAAATCCACGGATGCCTGTGTCTTGAAGCAGGGGCACACGTGTTTGACAACACATGCCTGTATGTGTGAGCTTGTGGAGGTGTCTCTGGGTATGCAGTGCACATGTCAATGTTTGCTTATATAGACCCGTCTAAATACACTTTGGCCTAATTGCTAGACCCGTCTAAATACACTTTGGCCTAATTGCTAGGGTGTCCGTGCTGAAATTAAGTGCATATTTGCATATAAGCGCACACCCACGCGACAGCCTCTGTATGCATAAAAATGCAAATGTGCACATACATGCATATTCTATGTATGACCCGTGCATAAGTCCAGGTCCCCGTGTCTCTGTCTTGTCTCTCTCTTCTTGCTTCTCATGTTAGCATCTCTCGCCAACCCCACCCAAGGGCCTTGGCTACGTTTTTAGTGACGGTTTGCGAGGAACCCTGGAAATACTGATTCAGCCAGACCTAACCGCGACCACAGCTCTCGGGTTTGGTCCAGCCATCCCCATCCCCCCCAACGCGAAGCAGCTGTGCTATCGCGGCTGGTCTGAGCTCTGAGCATCCCTGGCTACCAACAACCTGACAATCCCCAACCGGTGCTGAAAAGTGACAGGGTCGCCCAACGATGGGCAGCGCCTTCCAGACCACCCTGGTATCCTGGCCCTTCCGGGGGAGACCGAAATACAGAGCAGCGCAAGGCGGAGGTGGGCGGTGGAGGGGGCGTTTCAGTCTCTCGGAGTCCAGCGAACGCTGGGCAGAAACCAATGGGTGACTGTGGACCTTCGGGGATCCCTCAGAAGCAGCCAATGACCTCGCTCCGCTCTGCACCCCGCCCTCTCTACAGCGCGCAGCTGGACCATTGGAGCTAGCAGGATGGGGGAGCGCAGCGCCAGCACTAGGAGCGGGGGGCGTGGCCCAGACTAGGACCCGCCCATCTCTCCCGACTAGGTTCCCCATTGGCCGGACTGTGGCGCCGCGGCGGGCGGAGAGGAGGGGCGCGAGGCGCACTGTGGGCGTGGCCTGAGGGCGTGGCTGGCGGGGGGCGGGGCAGTGGCGCTGTCGCAGTGAGAGCCCGAGCGGCGGCGGCCCGTCTGGAGCTGCAGCGGGCGAGCCTGCGCGGCTAGCGGAGCCGCGGGGCCGGGAACAGGTGATCGCAGCGGGAGACCCGCGCCCTCCCGAGTTGCGGCGCCCGAGCCAGCGCTTCCGGGCTCAGCGACAGCCTCCCAGCCCCGTGCTGAGAAAGGCCAGCTGCAGGTTTCGCACAGGCTTCCCGGGTATCCCTCTCCCCGCGCGAGCATCAGAAACCCCTGGGTCCCGCGCAGCCTCGGGAGCGGCAGTCGCGCGCGGCGGAGCAAAGTTGTGGACGTGTCCCGACCGCCGGGCCCCGCGCCGTCACCACCGGCTGGGCGCGCGCTCTAGGAGCGGCGCTCGCCCTGCAGCCCCGGGGGCTCCCTTTGCAAACTGCTCCAGAGGCTGAAACTTCGGGTGCCGGCGGGTCGAGGCCTGCGTCCTGCTCACCCTCCGCGAGGGCGTCGCGGACGGCATGTGACCACTCCGGCGCGGGAAGGCCTGGGAGGGCGCGGGCTCCGTGGACCAGGCGGAGCGCAGGCTGCGGCGCACGGCGGGCCCGGGCTCCAGCCGAGCAGCCCCCCTCGCCCGGGCCCCGCCGAGGCCGCCGCGTCCCCGCCCCCGCGCGGGAGGATTCGCTCCAAACTCCCTGAACTTCGGGCGGGTCCCGAAGCGGCAGCTTCAAGGTGCGCAGTCTTGCTCGGGGACCCCAGCCACTTCACTCTTGCTTCCCACCCTTAAGGACTCCGAGGACTCCCGGGGCCCCGAGCGGAGCTGACAGCCCCCTGCTGCTGGCCGCGCCGCGATGCTGGTGAGGAAAGTGCCGGGCTTCGTCCCGGCCTCGCCGTGGGGGCTGCGGCTGCCGCAGAAGTTCCTTTTTCTGCTCTTCCTCTCGGGCCTCGTCACCCTGTGCTTCGGCGCCCTGTTCCTGCTGCCCCACTCCTCTCGCCTCAAGCGCCTCTTCTCGGCCTCGCGGACCCAACAGCCCGGCCTGGAGATGATGGCCGAAATCGCCAGCCACCACGCGATGCCAGAGCAAGAGCTGCCTCCCAACCCTGCCCCTGCGGCTCCGGCCCCGGGTGAGGACGATCCCGGCCGCCTGGTTGGTGTCCTCCGTAGGAAAGAGTGGCTGCGGCGAACCCGCCCCACCGGGCCCCGGGAGGAGGGCAACAGGGTTGCAGCCCTCAGGCCGCAGGACGAGAGCGTCCGGTTCAGTTTCGACTACAAGGGTTTCCGCAGTCGCCTTCGACACCCGGTCTTGGGGACAAGGAGTGATGAGAGTGAGGAGTCCCAGAGTCTAGTGCGAGCTCAGCGAGAGAAAATCAAAGAGGTAAGCACCCCTCCCCTCCAACACACATCTCCGGCCAAGACTTCTAGCTGAAAGCGTTTCCCCACCTTCTTGGCCTCCTGGCTCCTGGTCTACCCGAGACCCTTCAGGCACGCCGCAGCACCGCCCCTCAATCCAAAGTTACTCTCTTTCCTTGGTGTATACTTTAGGGTAACTAGGCTAGCTAGTTCATGGCTCCTACCCAACCTCCAGGTGGATTTTTTCCTCCCTTTGAGTTCCCAGCCCTGGTGGGCTCCCGACTTCCCCTGATGGGTTGCTAGTAGGAGTGGATTCTAGGTCCTTAGCTTTCGTTTGTGCAGGAGGGAGCCACTAGAAACCCTCTCTCTCACTGTATGTCTGTTAAGTCTTGACTTCTCCTAAGCTTCAGCAGGCTATGGAAAACCCAAGACTTGTGAGATATTTGGTGTCCTGTTTTGTAATCTCTCGGTATCTTGCAGAGCAGAGATCTCGGGCATTCCTGCTAACTGCTTCTATCGAGCGTTGCCACAGTTGTACATAATTGCATGTGAAAGACGAAGGAGTAATCAATAGAGCTGTGGTAATGTTACAGAAGCTCTGAGGTTATTGGCTTAATGAGGCGGGTCTTGGACTGGTTCCCCACAAGGAGTGGGCCGCAGAGGGATTTAGATGGATCACTTAGGTTTGAGTCACAGTCTTAGTTTTAAGACATCAAAAACAAACACGGCTTGGAACTGGCTTGTCGACAATTGCCAAGAGGCTACTTGTACCTGAGTGTTCTGCCCCACCCTGGCTAAGAGTGGTCTGTGTGAGATGCTTGGCCAATATAGCAGAGGGGGCTGCAGTGACACCCCCAGGCCACCAGGGGGCTGTGAGCAAGCCCTGGGCCAGGGTCTCCTCCCTGGAAAGAAGAGGATGCTTTTCCCCTTCCTGGGGACCCAGAAGGAAAAGCGTTGCTTCAGTCTGGACCTCTGAGTTTACTGCAGGGAGTCAGCAGGGCTGTTTGCATTTCTAGAAAGAGCAGGCAGCCCCTTTAGGGTCCCTGCTGTCCAGATCTTCCAGAGCCATTGGACTTGGCAACCCTCTTCCTCTGAGGGAGCTGTCCTTTCTCCCAGCACCCACCTCATCACCATTCACAGTTGCTGGGCTGCTCGTACCCTAAGGTGCTGTGCTGAGCCCTGTTTGAGTCTGTGTAAGCACTCACAGGACATGTGGAAAACACACACCAGCTAAGTCCTCGGTGTGTGTGTGTGCTTGTGTGTGCACGAGAGAGTGACTTCAGTTCCACAGTTTTCACTCAACTCTCAAAGTTTAGTCAAAGGGTTTATCACACTTAAGCGGCAGCCATGTCTTCTGCCCCTTCTGTTAAGGGGCTTCTTGTCTTCAGTTCACCTGGGCCACTTGTCTCTCCCTTTCCTGAAACTGTCTCTTAACACAACCCCTCTTTCTACTCTTCCAAACCTCTTTGGTGGGCCACAGCCACCCCCTCCACCCCCCGCCCCCCGCAGTGAAATCACACGTACGTCTCATGCATGCAGTTTCTCATGGGATGCCTAGAGCTGCCAAGAAATTGTCAAAAAGATCTCCGAAAGCATTGGGAATTCTCCAGTGTGGGAGAGGTGGAAGGAGACACTTCTGAAAGGCTAGGCTACAGCCTTCTGAGAGCCTTCCTGGTAGGGCATGGCCTGGGGGTGGGGTGGGGGGGCACCGTAAGCATGGGGGATGGGGGCACGGTAGGCTGGCTCCTGGAGGGGATCTTGGTCCTGTCCATGCAGAGGCAGCCTTTGTCACTAACAGAGGCTGGAGCTCCCCACTTGCTGCAGTGACTGGGTCTGGTAGGAGGTGCGAGCACTCAGGTGGGTGTGAGGTAACAGAGTGGGAGGAGGGCTGCATGATGCCAGGTATCTGGATGTGTGATGTGTCATCTCCTTACACCTCTGTTTGTAGCTAGAGGCATGCTCGTGGGTTCTTGCAACTGCTGTTGTACAGCCTCCTTGCACCGTCTGCAGACTGTAGGCTTCTCAGAGTGGTGGGCTCCGGGCTGTATTCACAGTTATGTTTGGGGACCTGTGGTCTTCTCAGGCTACTTGACTTTGAACCCTGCCCCATGTCCCTATCCTGAAAGTGGTAGCTTAGAAGTTAAGACACGATGACTGTCTTTGTCCCATCAGAGGAAGCATCTTGCTGGAGGTGTCTGTCCACAGTTCTTCGGTTTCTCTCTGTGTCATGCCTAGGGGTGGGTCATTTTAAAAGGTGCCTGTTTTCTAAAAAGGGACTGTGGCATTTGTCTCTGGTTTGTTTATTTCCAGATTCAGATTGATTAGACCCAAGGAGAAGCGGAGAGCTAGCATCAGATAAGAAGAGACCTGTTCTTATAAGATGAGGGTTTTGAAAGTGACAGTAAGCACCGGGACTGAATCAGAGAGAGTGACAGATGAGAGTGGACGGGAACCAGACAGACACTCTGGCTCCGGAGCAAGTAGATGTCTTTGTGAACATTCTGGTGTGAGAGCTGGATGTGGCTGCTGACAAGACGGGTTGAGGTCGCAGCTGCTGGTTACCCATGTGTCAGGACGTTCTTTATCACCCCTCCATCCTGGTGCTGAAACCGTGGGTGCTGGAGATGGGAGGACCAAGAGAACATCGGTTGGTGTCTTAGCTCAGCTGCCAACTGTCTGTCTTTGGGCAAGCCACGCCCCTTCCTGCCTGGACCTTCCTGTAGGACTGGATGAAGAAGAGGTGATAGGCTGTTGGTGGATGAGGGTCTAGCTTTGGCCCCTCTGTAGACTGTCAAGCCAGTCAGGTAGCTCTTGGACCCATGAGGTCAAGTGTCGTCATGGGATGATGGCTTTGACAGCGGCGATGCTGTGTCCCTAGCTTGTACCTATGAATAGCTATCTAAATGTTGATGAATTTAGTTATTCCCAGCACTCAGACTGAACTTGGGAGATGGGGTAGAATGGCTTGCAGCCAGGGCCGGAGAAGGGCAAAGATGGCTAGAATGTACAGCGGTGCTCTGAGGACCATACAAGCCCACAGGAGTGCTTTCTGGCATTGTGGTATGATGTCATCTACACACGCGTTGGGGATGCATTCATAGCTGTCCTGGGACATGTGCAGCCCGAGGGCTGCAGGTTGGACATGTTTGATAGGGAATGGGGGGTCATTGTCCATTGGTGGATGGTCTGAAGATTCAAATTCAGGTTTTTCTCAACAAGAGTTGGAAACAGGGGGGCTGTTAGCATCACATTCCAGGGGAATAATTTACACTGTTTTGACCTCATGATGGTAGGTTGCTGATCTGAAAACCCTGGTGGATCTCTCCCGATGAAGGGAGCTTTTGTCTGAGACAATGGACAGTCCAGAGCCATGATAGTGGGCACTGGTTTTGGGTATCCTCCTAGCCTGTTTGTTACCTTTGGGAAAAAAAAATTGTAGGAAGGATCGTTTCTTCTGGTTCCTCTTCCCAAAGTGCTTGTCTAAGCAGAGAAGAACCTGGACTGAATTTCTTTGTCCTTGGCCAGTTAGTCCTGGACTCTTGTGTGTCACCTCATAGCAGTCTTGCAAAGAATCCATCCTGGGTTCAACTCTGACCTTGGTCTTGATATGGTAAAGCCACTAGACCAGGACTCAGGGAGCACTCTTCTCTTCCCCGTGTCCCCCACCTCCATGTTTACTGCTGTGTTTATGCATCAGCCCTGGTATACCTAGGATCTGGTGCGACATTTAGTTGACCCAGATACTTGAATATTGATCCAGCTTTATTTAAGCTGTACCTTGGGCTGGGGAGATTGGTCAGTTGGTGAGGTGCATTAGGACCTGAGTGTGAGGTTTAGAAGCCATGTGAAAAAGCAGAGCATGGCGGCGTGTCGTTATTCGGTTGTGGGGAGGTAGAGGCAGATGGGTCCTCAGGACTTATTGTCCAGTCATCCTGGTGTACTGAGCAATGAAGAGACCCATTGCTTTTTCTTGACAGGTTGTCTCTGTGTAGCCCTGGCTGTCCTGGAGCATACCCTGTAGACCAGGCTGGCCTTGAACTCATAGAGATGAGCCTACCTGTGACTTCCAAGTGTTGGGATTAAAGGCATGCACCACCACTGCCTGGCTAAGAGACCCATCTTTAAAAAAATAGAAAAAAAAAGCCAGGTTAAGTCAGCTGTTGCTAAGCCAGACCCCCGATTTTGATCCCTGAGACCCATGTGGTGGAAGGAAAAAACTGTTTACAAAAGTTATCCCTGACCTTCAGTGACGAGCTGAGGTGCTGTGGCGTGTATATTCATCCCTCCCCATAGGCAAAAGAAATAAATGTAAAAAGAATTGCTGTTCTTTTTTAATAAGACTTTTATTTATTTTATGTGTGTCTGTCTTCAGACACACCTGAAGAGGGCATTGGATCCCATTACAGATGATTGTGAGCCACTATGTGATTGCTGGGAATTGAACTCAGGACCACTGAAAGAGCAACATCCAGTACTCTTTTTTTGGGGGGGGGTTTGAGACAGGGTTTCTCTGAGTAGTCTGGCTGTCCTGGAACCCCCTCTGTAGACCAGGCTGGTCTCAAACTCAGAAATCCGCCTGCCTCTGCCTCCCAAGTGCTGGGACTAAAGGCGTGCGCCACCACTGCCCGGCCAACATCCAGTACTCTTAACCACTGAGCCATCTCTCCAGCCCCCAAGAATTACTGTTCTTAGAAGAAAAGCAAAAGCAAGATGGATAACACTGGTCACCTGAAGTTGACCTCTGGTTTCCCTATGCACACATACATGTGCATGTGTGCCCTCCTCCTAACATGTACCACATGTGTATGAACACACAAAAAGATCTGCCAATGAACAGTTAAAGGCTGCTGGTAGTTGAAGCTGGATCTTTGCCCCAAGATCACCTGGGATTTCCATGGAAAGGAGAGTGGGGGGTCTCCAGCCATATTTAAGGGCTGAACAGCTCAACCCAAGAGATTGGCTAGACATATCAGTAATTTTCCAAGGTGGAGTTCCTGAGAGTGAACTCTTTCCTGCCTGGATAGC